GTCCCCAGCCTGGGGCAGCACTTGGGGCCAACATGCCCCCTGCTGGTGCAGCTCTTCATCTCCAGGCCTGCTCGTTGTCTCTGCCGCTTCGGGCACCATCACTGCCGCCGTCCCCAACTCAAGTGTGGAACAGCTCTCTCGCCAGGGTCTGGTCCAGGGGCGTCAGTGTCCTAACAGGTGCACCACCCTCTCAGCTCAACCAAGAAACCCAAAAAAAACCTCTGTTTCGTCTGCTGCCACTCCTCCGCCAGGCCTGCAAGCTTCTCCTGGCCGCTGCTACCTCTCCCAGTGACCACTGACTGCTCTCCCTCTTCCTGGGTCCAGCTCTACGCCCGGCTCCAGCTCCCCATCAGTGCTACAGCTCTTTTTATCAGTGTTACAGCTCCTTGCTGGCTCTGGGAGAGGGCCTCAGTGCACACAGGGCATCTATGTCCCAAAAGACGCACCTACCCTTCCACCTCTGGCTGTCCAGAAACCAAAACCAAACCCACTGTCATCGAGTTGGTTCTGACTCATAGCAACCCTACAGGACAGAGCAGAACTGCCCCATAGGGTTTCTAAGGAGCGCCTGGTGGATTCAAACTGCCAGCCTTTTGGTTAGCAGCCATAGCTCCTAACCACTATGCCACCAGGGTTTCCTCTGGTTGTCCAGGGGGCCCCAAAACCTGTTTCTCAGCCCTTTATATGGGGCTTTGCTTGTCAATTTCAAGGCAGAGGCTCCTAGCCTGCTCAGGGCCCAACCAATCCTCCTAGCCAGGCTGGAGCCCAAACAATTCTTGATTACCCAGGAAATGTCTATCAGTTCGGGCCTTGTCCATTACTGGGCTAGCGGGACAGAAGCAACAAACCGTAAAGTTGTTTACAGCTTCCCAGGAAACGTCCATCCACTCGGGCAATCCCCTCCCAGGTTGTTTTTCCCACAAATCCAGAGCCAGAAGGCCACATAAGGGAAGCCATTACACTCCCACCAGCCAACAGCTCTTCCTGTCTCCACTGATTACAGATACTATCTTTATTATATATCGTTTCCCTATACATAAATCAGTTTCTGTATTCTATTCAGTTGATATTTCTATTTCTTTATCAATGCCACACTGTTTTCATCACTACAGTTTTAAAACATATTTTCATATCTAGTAAACAATCCCCCCTCGTTTTTTTTTTCCAAACTGATCTTGGCCATTCTTGCATTTACTTTTCCAAATGAATTTTAAAATTCGTTTGTCAAGTTCCATAATAAAACCTTTGGGATTTTTATTGAGATTGCACTAAACTACAAATTAGGTACTGTTATGGACTGAATTGTGTACCCCCAAAATGTGTAATAAATTCTAACCTTTACACCTGTGGTTATAATCCCGTTTCGGAATGGGTTTTCTCTGTTACATTAATGAGGCAGTACTAGTGTAGGGTGTGTCTTGAGTCAATCTCTTTTGAGCTATAAAAGAGCAGATGAAGCAAGCAAGCAGAGCTGGGGGAAGGCACATGCCGTGCCCCGTGAGATCTCCAAGGAACCAAGAAACAAAAGCTGAAGAGACAAGGACCTTCCCCCAGAGCCAACAGAGAAAGCCTTCCCCTGGAGCTGATGCCCTGAAGTCGGACTTCTAGCCTCCTAAACTGTAAGAAAATAACCCACTTGTATTATTTCTGTTATAGCAGCGCTAGATAACTGAGACAGGTACAGAATCAAGATCTTCGCAGCAATGAATCTTCCATCTACAACTATGTAAAGCTGCTCCTTTCTTTATTTGGGTTTTTTATGTCAACAAGTAAAAATTTTTATCCACATTTCATTTCAGGTTCTGTATCAAACACTCCTGAAATCTCTTATTAGTTCTAATAACTTTTCAGTTGATTCTCTTGAAATACTATTATTATCTATAAATGAACATTTTATCTCTTCCTTTCCAATACGTCCAGTATTTATTCTCATTACTTTTATTACTGTATTGGTTACAATCAGACCTGCAGAACAAGACTGAACAGTACCAGGAACAGTGACCGTCCTTGTCCTATTCACATCTCAGAGGCTTGTTTAAACACTTTCCATTAAGGACGTTTTTGGTGGGTAACCTTCATCGGGTTACAGGCATTTCATTCTGTTGTTAGTTTTTATTCATGCATGAGGTTGAATATCATGAGATGCTTTTCTGGCATTCCTTGAGATTAACATATTTTTTTAATCTTTTAATCTATAGATTTTTGTGAATTTATTAATAGGTTTTCTAATTTTCAACCAAACTTCCATTCCTAATAAAAGCCCTCTTACATCATAACATTTTATTTTTTATTTTTGCATCTGTGTTTATAAGTGAAAGTAGCTTATGTGTAACTTTTATAATAATGAATATACACCAAATCAGGGATTATATATACGTATTTTTGCATTATTTGTTAAATAGAAAATGAACAGGTAAAGATATACTTAATTTTACGTAAAAAAGAAGAACTTATATGTAAAACTTATATGCAAAAGGAACAAAGGAAATACGTTTTAACCTGTTCTCTGTTTACTGAATCTCCTATCTGGGTTAATGCTGTCACCACCAATCAGTCACGGAAGCAAGAATCACTGAAGTCTCCACTCCTCCACACCCAGCCATTCACCGTGTCCCAAAGATGCCACGAGTCAACCTACCTCATGCCTCTACTGGAAGGCCAGGGGCTGGAATGGACCAGGTCACCCCTGCTGCATGCTACTGCATTGCCTTGGGTACACTTATCTCAGCCCAAATTTCCTTATCTATAAAACAGACATGGTACTATAAGGTCTGAACAGTTGTGGTAAAATTAAATGAGATAATAAATGTAAAAAACCGAATGAAATGCTTGCCATCTAATGCATGACCAAATGTTAACACTACCTCAAGAATAACTCTTCTTCTCTCCTTCCCCTCCGCCACGGCCTCAGGTCAGGCCTGCCATTCTGACCTGGTCTATGGCCACTGTCTTCTAGTCTTTCTGCCATCTGGACACTGCTGCCAAAGCTCACTTTCTAAGACATAAATCTGCCCACACAATGCACCTGCAGACATTCTCCCAACTACCTACCAGGCACTTGTAAGGGCCTTCATAATCTAGCTCAACCTACTTGTCTGGTCTCATATTCCTCCACTCCATTCCATGTACTTCACACTCCAGCACACTGAAGTTCTCTGCTGAAAACCCTAAGCTTTTCACAGGGCTCTTCTTTTGCATGTGCTATTCCCTCTTCCTGAAAGCCTTTTCCATTCAACCTTTAAGACGTAGCTCAACTGGCACTGTAATCCGATGAGGGTGGGTCCTGACTGGTGTGACCCCTTGAGTCAACTGAGAAACACCAGGCCTTTGAGAAAGAGAAAGAGAAAGTGGACTTTATTGCAAGCTGGTCAAGCTAGGAGCTCGGAGACCAAGGCTCAAATCAAGCTCCCGGAGGTTGGGGATGCTAGGGCAGTTGTAGGGTTCGGGATAGGGAAGTTACGCATAATTCATGAAGCGTCTGAGAATAGACGGGCAATTCCAGGATCTAATTAACATGTGTGGGCACACAGTGAGGGGGGTGCAGTGTCTTGGTGGCTGGGGGCATGTTTTTATTGGAGGTATGATGCATGAAGTTCATCTAAGGACAGCTTTGTGGCTTACTGCACATGTCCCAGTGGAGGGGGAACAGTGAGGTGGCCTTGGGCTGCTACAGAAGATGCCTTATCACAGAACTGGGTGTGACGGAAGGAGGGGAACAGTTTAACCCTGTCTGTTACATTACTTCTGTTTAAAAAAAAAAAAACTCTGACTCTCATTACAGAATTAACGTGCTCCCACAGTAGTTTTCACTGTTATGATATTAAAATTACTTGCTTATGTATCTTTCCCCACTTAATGAGGCAAAAATTGTATCTTATTTTATTCTTTATTACCTTTATTATTCTTCATATACCTTCGTTTTTTATTAGGACATCTGTGCCTTCAGTACTTTGTTTACTGAATAAAATAGACTGAATTTGTTTTAAAGAAGGTTCTATTAAATCTTTCAACACAACAAAGTATCTTCTGATCATTTCAATCAGACTTTCACGGTTGTCTTTTTTAAACAATAGATTTTCTTAAGTAAGACAGTACCACAATGAGGCCACTCTGCCCTATGGACAACTGAGAGGGCTCACGGAGTAATCCCAGAGGCAGCCAAGCTCTCTGTGAGTTCTGAGTGGTCTCTGTCGGCTGAGAGGCCCCTCGGAAACTACTGGTCTCTCGGCTTCCTGTGCAGGCAGTCAGCCATTCTCGGGAACCAAAGGTATTACGTTGTTTCAAAAGAACGTATCTTCCAGCACGTGGACTTGCTCTCAGTGAAGGATCTTCTCCCAGAAGTGCCCACGTCCTGCTACCTCCCCATCCCAAGTAAATGAGTTTGGTTCAATTATAGTTTGCTCCTTAAGCCAGGAAAGAGAGTTCAGAAAAAAACACTGCAGCAAGGTTATCTGTATAGGCTGAGATGCTAAAAGAAGAAAGTACCCCTCTTACATCGTGAAAACCTGGCTAACATGTGAACGATTCCATTTCATGTAGGTGGTGTGTACCACACATTCCTGACCTAGAAGACAGTACTAATGTCACAGAGACTCGCGCAGTTTCTGGGACTAAAGATGTTAACAGCTGCTCTGATTAGAAACCACAGAGGAACATATGAAATAAACAGATGATTTTAGCTCATAATCTTTTTAAAGAGTCCAATGCGCAAGTGACCAAAAAAATCCCTAATTTTAGAAAACAAATTATGACTAAAGTACCCATGGTCCATTATGGTTTTTGAATAACTATTTCTTTCACTTTTTTTTTCTCCTAAACAAACATATGATTTTACAAGAAGAAAGAAGGCAAAGCGAGACCTGCACAGAGAAAAATCGCCACAGATTTTAGCTCACACGGCAGAGCTGGGGATTAATTTTTTAAGATTTATTTGCCAATTTCAAAAACTCACAAGTAGAATAAAGAGCTTACTAGAGGTATGCAAAAAGGACGTCGGCGGTACCTTCACCAGGACAAAATGGGATTAGCTTTGTAGTTCCTGTAATCTTCTTCACAGAAGAATGCAATTTCAGTTTCACTGGCTGGGAAAAAAAAGAAAAGAAAAGCAGAAAATAGAAAAAAAAATTAATGTAAAACTAAATTTTAAACAAGTATGGAATTATTACAATGATTCAATATTTTAGAATAGCTTTAGATGCCTAAAGTGAGAAGGATGAGTTATTTGTGTGTCTGCACAATACATTTCACCAAACCACGCAGAGGTTTTAGTTGTAAGAATTTAAAACTCAAATCATTAAAAAAAAATACCCTAAAACATTAAAACAAGAGCTACCACAAGAAGCTGGTTTTGAGGAAATCAGAAAATTGGCTATCTATCGTCTCCTTTCCAGTCCTAGAAAATAACAATCCTTGATTTTTTTTTTTCAAATTTGCTACTCAGTTACTGAAGAAGGGGGGGAGAAACTCTTTTTTTCCTTCTGAAATTAGCCTGTAGGTATAATAATTTAGTACTTAGAGGATCAGTAGAATATTTTACAGATCACTTTACATTCTCCCTCATGACCCATCAAAATATGTGTCTGGAGAAGTTAATTTTTTGCCCTGCTTATGATTAATTCATGAGGTTTCAACAATATGCAAAGTCAAAGACACAAACTGGCTTCTATCACAATACCTTCAAATACCTCTAATTATACACAGGGGATACGGCACAGCTAAAGGACCCACAAAGGTTCAGAGCAGTCACGATTCTTTCAACCTAGCAGGTCAAGGACTTCGTCTTCTAAAACAGTAAGTCAGCAACATTATTAATTCAGCCTGGAGACAAATCTGATGGAGAGCCTTCCAATTATTAAACATGCGGTTCTTTAAGGTGTTGTGCCAAGTTCCACATTTGTTTTTAAATTGAACCAGAAGTTAATACAGTCGGCTTGGCTTTTACAGAAAGAGCAAAAGGGCCTTCAGAGTCTCGACAAGAAAACAGACAAGATTATTTGTAATGAATACCGAGCACTCAATTAACATACACTGTGCTCTAAAAACAGACGAGTAAAACTCTTCGTGCTAAATAAACAGGACAGAAATAAAGGCGCCAGGGATTACACTGGTCTCTGACAGCTCACAGCTCATCACTAGAATTTATCGCAAAAAGAATGAAATGAAAGAGCTTAGCGCGCCCTTTCGTTAAAAATCTTTTTGCTGTTTTTAAGAATATTAATGTTCCTCAATCCTAAATTACTCATGTTGCTTGTAGAAAATCCTGAAATGCAGAAAGAAGAAAATAAAATTCCCCGTAGTCTCATATTGTCATTCCAGTCTTACATCTTGAGAATTAAATAGGAGGTGATGTCACATCAGGTCTGTGAGGAGCACAGGGCAGAGAGGAAGTGGGATCCATAAGCAGGTGCTGTAAACGGTGCACCCTGGGAAAGCGTTAAATTAAGGCACAGTTAGACTTTACAAGGTCACACTTAAAAAGAAGAGTAAGAGGCTCCACCTTGGAATCAGTAAAACGCTTAAAGGAGTGGATTAAAAAAATGCAAGATTTAAAGATACTGGAGATCTTTTTTTATAAAGAGCTCCTGAGGTTTTCTTTTTGCAGGGGACCATGCCCAGAGAGGGACTTCTATAACTGGCAGGTGATTCTAATCATCCTTCTAACAGAGGATGAGCAAAGGCAGCCCTGTTCTTAATAATGACCAAGCAGGTTGTATCCGGAGGTTCTATTTACATACAGAACTGTACACAGTGCGCTGCCCACACAGCACTCCGCTCCGTACCCGCCAACTGTAATTACAATTTTCACTTCCTGAGGTTGACATTTGTCTGAACCCCTTTTGAGAAACTAATAGGTAGCTCAGCTCTTCAGTAAGGTAATAACAGGGTCAGAACAAGCCGATGTAAAGAAAGGGCTGATGACGCATTTTGTTTTGACACGCAGGTTCTCTCGGGTCTAATTAGCTTATAGATCAATCCATTATTTATATAAAGTATTTATGCCATCTCTCATAATACAGGCTCAAAATGAGATAATGTAGGGTAAAGATCTTCTCTTCAGACGACTGCATTTTTTTCTCCAGACAAACTGGATCGACAGATGAGTTAAACGCAAATACTTCAGGTGGATCACGTTTTTTTCACCCTCGGCAAACTGGAGAACAGCACACAAATTAAAAATCACTCTGAACATTCCAACATAAAATGGATTTTAAACTTCAATAATGTGCTCCTCAAAGAGAAACAGAATATAATGTTTTAAAAAAATCTATAAAACTCTTTTGAAAATGTTTAACATAATGATTTCGTGTACTTAATACTGCAAATTTATTTGCCAATTTAACTGAAAACTAATCACAAAAGATTTTCAAGACCTCGACATCATTACCTTTTGCCCCATTGTTCTGTAAATTCTTGCTTCCCAAATTCATTTTCAAATGACTCCTTTAAAAATGGCTCTGGAAGAACCCTCTGGAAGTCTACCGTGTGCCAGTCCCCTGGGGCACCTGATTTTAAATTAAATGTGCTGCGGGCGGCAGCTCGCTCAGGAGCAGAGTGCCTTGGCATGGGAATCTGAAATGACTGTGCAATCTAAAATCCAATAAATACACTGCCAGTTCACCCCGTCTTACTATCAAACGAAATCAAGTATGAATCCTCCCAGTACATTTGTAGATCATTCTAATACTGATTTTCAAGTGCAATGGAATGAACACAAGCTAAGACATTCAAACTTTGGATATAAAATTAGTAAATTTATAACGTCTCCAAACAGGTCTCACCCCCCCACACATATGCCTGTAACAGAAAAATAATAACAACGACTTAAAAGAATAAAGCGTGAGAGAATTTTAAGTGTAAAAGCCCACTAAAAATTCAGTGCAACGCATTTAAATTTCTCAACTAACGTATCTCGATGAACTCATCTGTCGACAAGTACTGACAGCGCCCTTTCAAGTCCCTGGCCTCATGTGAGTCTGCACAGCGACTGTTATCTCAATGATGTAACATAACGCATACATTACACACATGTATTTATATATATTATACAAACACATATCATTATACATACATATATATATATATATATATGAAGGGAGAGCTGTGGTTTCTGCGGCAATTTAAGACCAAAAGGACAAAGTGTCAACCTCTCTTCTGTTCCAGAAATCTATCCTATCCTTCCAAATTTCACAAAATCCTAATCGACAAACCATTCAAACCTGCTCACGGGGAGTTTATCTTTCTAAGTTTTCTCCAGAGGACATCAGCAATCCACTGAAAAGGTCCAAACTGCTGTGCTTGTGATTTCATACTTGCTTCAGATTGTTTTAAGTCATCTGGCAGAGACTTCTGGCTGAAGAGGAACATCCGACCTTTGATAGACTAAAGACACGCCTGTAATTTCCACCATGGTGAGGGGAAGGTAGGAAGGGAAGACTGACCCATGGGGTTCATTCTGATCCCTTGTTCTGGAATCCTCAAATTCCCCAGGCCCATACCTGCTTCACTGAGTCCCAGACTATCCCACTGTCATGATGTCAACGTGACGGACGGCCACCTTCACGTACCGTCAGAGGAAGAAAACCATGTACGCCCTGAGGTACTACCACCCAAAAAGGAACGGGAAAGGGACCCGGCCCTTAAGGAAACAACCCGAACATGATCCTGAGAAAGAAGACGGAGCCCGCGACTGTACATTGTCGACTCGACCGACCAAGTAACCGAAAGGTGCCAGGCACGCAGAAGGGGTTCTGGTTACGGGCAGAGGACAACAGTGATGGTCTGAACGAAAACAAACCACAAGGGGTTTGGGAATTCTTACAGGGTCCGGCTTGACGTGAACTGTTCCCGCAGATAATCACGTAAGGCTTGGCCACTGTTCCTTGTTTTACAATCTTTCCAATAAAATGCAAATGGATTTAGAAGGGTCCCCCCAACAGTTTACTTCCTAAACTACAGAGGACTCCAAAGATAACACTTAGTAAAATGAAGCAAAATAAAAGAGATAAAACATCACTTAAAAAAAAAATAAAACCCTTACATGACAAGCAAATTTATTTACGGTAAATTAGTCCATAAAGCTACAGTTGTTAATAACCAAAAATCTCAATGTAAAAATCTTTAAAGTTTACATAACAATTCTAGATAAAGCCCTCTTCTTTCTTCTACAAAGCAAATCTTTTTACTTATTTATTTTAGTACAAAATCCACAAGCAAGAAACTTCCACTGGTATCAGGTACAGAATATGCAATCAGGTCCGCAGTGCAGATAAAAGGCCCTGGGATGAACTGGAGAATTTCTCCACGAGAAGAGAAAGCTTCAGACAAGTTTCTCCCCCTAATTTCCCCCCTTGCAGCCTTTCTTCTCCCTCCGCGGCTCCTGCGGAAAAGTCATAATGATAAATTCATTACAGTAGCATTATTGCCACGGCAACTGGTGTGATACCAGGGGTGGAAAGAGGCACAGTGACGACCCTGAACTTCTCTCTTACACCTCTTACAAACCTAAGCAGATGCAGCACATGGGGAGGAGAAATCCCCTAGAAAAATCACATACTTCAAGTATCTCTCCTACAACTCGACTCCCACTTAGAATTTTGTTGTTGCTCCCCAGGGACCACGGTCTTCCCACGTTGACCTGTGGGATATTCCCGGAGCAGAGCAACCCTGCTCTAGGCAAGGAGGAGGCAGCCTTCAGGAAGGACACAGCACCTTGCCGGGAAGGAGGCCGCCCCTGGCTCCCTGCAGGGATGGAGGCCGCCCCTGACCCGGGCTGCTGAGCTCACCAGGCAGGAGGACGGCTGGGAGTTCTCAGCCACCGAGACCAGTGGAGACCTTGGAAAAGGAGCTGATTCTGAGCAAAGACACAGGGGCCTTAAAACAAGAATCACAAAGACAGGGATCTGATTCTCACATTTATAGGTGGTCGATTACACTAGTAAGTCTGAAACTAAGGACAATTCAACCAACAACTCAGTGTTTTAAAAACTTCAAAACATTTGCCAAGTCTCTTCTCAAGCAGAGTTTCCAAATAATAAAATAGCAAAGTATTTTTTAAGGGCCTTTTGCATCCGTAGTTCTGGATGCTTTCACATACATTATTTTACACAACCCTTCAGACAACCTCCTGAAAAAGGTTTCATTATTCACATTTCTACAGAAAATAAACAGAAGTTCAAGGAGGTGTTGTGGTTTACAGAAGCTCACAAAGCAAGTAAAATGCAGAGCCTTCATCCAAACCAATTTCCCCAACTTTAAGGGTTTATTCTTTCTTTTAAATTAGCTCCTTAATGTACCGGTGATACATGTAAACCGTAGAAACCTTAAAAAATTACAGTAAGAACAGAAAGTACGGATAAGGGAGAAGATCGGCTACCAACAATGCCACCGCTCAGAGACACCATTTCTATAATTTTGGTAAATGAACTTCCCCCACGTACACATACAAATGTGTAAATATATACATTTTTAAACAATAATGATATCACACAATATATTCTATTTCCATTCAGTGATTTACAAATGGCAGAAGTGAGAGAGAAACCCCACCACACCTTTGAAGGTGAATCACAAAACCTCAGGGGGGTCATGCACTTTGAGAACGCATACTCCGGCTGGCTTAGTAATAGAAATGACAGAAAGTGAAACTTAAGAAAGTCTTACTGGTCAAAGTAAGCAAAAGAAAGTTAGAGGTAATACACGTTCCCAGTGGTAGTACAGGAGAGTATCCGTTTCCCCATACCTTGACCTTGCCAAGATATTACCAATTTTTTCATGTCTGCTGATCTTACAATAATAACTGCTGCCTTGCCCACGGTCACACAGAGTTGGGTTTTGAACCCAAGCATTCTGGCTCTGGACTCCAATCCTTAACCACTATACATATTACATAAAATAGTATCTATTTTAAAGTGTGTTTTCTCTCATTACTTAATAAGGCTGGACTTTTTCCCACACATTAACTATTTCTTTCACCAGTAGGATTTCTTGTTCATCTTCTTCATATCAATTAGAAGAGCTTTTTATAAAACAAGGCTAAGAACTTGTTACTTGTCATGTATGCTGCGAAGATTTTTTCATAGTTTGTTGTTTTCCTTTAAACTGTTGGCCTTTTTTAATTTTTATGTGTTCACATCTGTCATTTCTCTCTCTGTATGGTTTCTGCCTTTTAGGTCAGGCTCAGGAAGCTCCTTCGTCCCCAAGATTATAAAATTATTGACCTACATTTTCGTTTATTTTTTACATTATAACGTTTAATCCATCTAGAATTTATTTTTGAATAGAGACTGAGATAAGGATTTAATGTTTTTTTCCCAAATGGTTTGAAAATGGGCTGGATATCATTTCCTGACTAATTCATTCTTTCTCCACTTAACTGAGAAGTCAACTTCATCATATTCTGAAATTTTACTTTTTTTTTCTTTGCTTTTGGATTTCCTAGTCTGTTGCATGAATCCACAGGTCAATTCCTGCATCCATACCAGTTTGTTATTTTTATTAGAGCATTACTATTTGCTTTGACACCAAGTAGGGATATGTTCTAGGTGCCACATGCCCCAAACACAAGTGCCACCTGCTACAATAATATAAGATCATCTGAAGAAATTAATGCCAAATTAAAAATTGTCTTTCAAATAATACAAATCAATCCTAGGGGTTCATAATATGGGAGGAATCTAATTCTAACAAATAGGGTAAACTTAAACACAGAAAACAAGTCTAAGGTTTCATAACATGTTATTTAAGCCCCCGTTAAATTGTAAGATGCGTCAGGAATTCCCTTTGGTCACAGGTGTCATTCAAAAGTGAACTCCTGACATATGTGACTAAAATAACTCCATATAACACCTCACGACGATCCGAGACGACTAACGTGAGCCCCACCTGGAGCGTTCATTAGCTGACACGTGAAGAAGTAGGTGTGATCTCTGAGGCGCCCCCATATTCCCTAACCACACAGTGTGTCCGGCATAAAGCCTTCAACTGCTCAGACCTCTCTTAAAAACCTTCATTCCTTCTATTGACAGAGCTTCAGGTGGGCACATAAGTAGAATTAGAGCGACATCTAATGGTCACAAAGCACATCACAGCATCTCTTTCAAAGGGAACTATTTTCATATTCCAGGTTGAAAGGAAAACCCGAGTCTTCAGCCACACGCTAGGCTCTAATTTTAAATTCGATGATTTGGCCAGCCCTGGATGACCACCAGAAACCATCCTGAAGGTCATACAAACAACATCTCCTTTCATTTTTCCACATCAGTTCTATGACGTCTCAAACCATCAGTTCAAATGATGCTGATCACAGAGTTAGTAGAAATGGTACTAATAACCTGTCAGTCACTTAAAATAACCCCCAGCAGAATTCTGAGCATGAGCATCCCTTCTGAAAAGAACTGTTTGCGTTCTGAACATCTGAAGAGCAGATACCTACTGCCCTCAGCCAGATGATGTGAACTTCCACTCCTCCTCCTCCTCCCCCTCTATTATCAGGTATTACAAAAAGCTCCAAGGGCAGCATTTACTTTGTGCTGAGCCGGGAAAATGAGCGCCCCTCCAACAATGTAAACGCAGGCTTTCTCACCAATTCCCGCGGCTTTCAGGGTGCTCTCTTCTTTTAACAGGAGTCTGTCATCATCTTCCAAACCCAACACAAGTTCATTTGTCTAAAAAGAAATAAGAATTGCATTCCATCAATACTTACATGTGTTTCGTCTTTGGTAAGGCTTCTCAAAGACATAACAATTGTTCCTTTGGGTCACACCAACAATTGAATTCCCATCTGCCATTACTGTAACGGGGGCAGTGAACACAGTGAACGGATGTAGACTAGTCTCCGCTGAGTCCACACGCTGAATAGCACCGGCCTTGGAGTCAGGTCTGGGTCCAAACTCAGGCCCCACCAGGGACCAGCTGTGTGTTCTCAACCAACCACGTAGCTTCCCTAAGACTCAGTTTCCTGGTGGCGCAATGTTTAAGAACTTGGCTGCTAACTGGAAGGTCGGAGGTTCAAACCCACCAGCCACACCAAGGAAGAAAAGACCTGGCGATCTGCTCCCGTCCAGATTACGGCCTAGGAGACCCTATGGAGCAGTTCTACGCTGTCATACAGGGTCACTATACATGGAAATCGACTCAACGGCATACAACAACAGAAGAGGAAATCACGTACCTTCCTCATTGCCTCGTGGGGAGGACGGAAGGAGAGGATGCACAAAAAACCCTCAGCACAGTGTCTCCCACGGAGCACGTATTCCTCACATCGGCTGTCTGGAGTTGTTGGGTAGTGAAAATGGTTGATGTGCTCAGCTTTGAACCAAAAGGTTAGAGATGCAAGCCCGGTGATCTACTTCTGAAAGATCAGCCGCTGAAAACCCTATGGGACACAGTTCTACTCTGACACGCGTGGGATCGCCATGAGTCAGAGGTGACTCGATGGCAGTACTTCTATGCTAGCCATTGTTTTTGCTGTTGTCATTATCGCTGTTGCCTCATCTCACCCTCATGATGATCCAGGAGGAATCAGAAAGGTCTCAGGTACAGGCCCAAGGTTACAAGGTTAGCCAGCGGTGAAGCTGAGGTTCCAGCTTGGGCCAGTCTGACTTCTAAAAGAAGCAAGTTGACCTCAAATGGCCAAGAGTTCACATTTCTACAAATCTTGCCCAAGTTAATAAAACATTTGGTCCCATGCCATATTAGCTGTACTATTTCTCTATGTGATTTGGGGTGGCGGTGGCGAGTCTGCTCTCCAATGGTATTTACAAATACAGTAAAACATCATACAGGAGAAAATGACGAGCTGACGTCTGCCCCTAAACAGCTCACAGAGGTGACCACTGGTTAGACGCACAGCACCACCTGTCAGCCAGGATGCAGCTGCCTAGCACCGTATTCTAGTTCTAGAATATGACCGAGAGAGAAAGACCACAGAAAGGCCTCTCAGCAGCCAAAACAGACGCCTCAGAAGCCAGCTCCCCCGTTCACAGACTTCATTCTGTAGAACGCACAAAGGCTGGAACTACAGAGCACATAGATATTTAAAAGGAAACTGTATTTTAAAAAATGAACATTTGGGGATAGGAAATAAGCGAGGATGGCAAGGCTCTGCTTATTTACTTTTGGGCATGTCATTAGCAAAGACCAACGGCTAGAAAGCCCATCGCAATTGGTAAAGTAGAGGGTCAGTGAGTACAAGGAAACCCTCAATGAGATGGATTCACACAACAGCCACAATGAACTCTAACATCCCAGTGAGCACAAAGATGGCGCAGGACCTGGCAATGTTCTGTTCTGTTGTACGTAAGGTCGCCGTAAGTCGGAGGTGTGTAGTTGGCAGCTGAGAACAAGAATCTCATGACACAGAATTCTAGAAGTACATACGGGTATAGAGTGAACAGTTAATTTTTTCCCAACTCCTACCCACCAGCTACCTAGTTCTCCTCCAGAGACACTACCACTGAATTACTAAGTCACGGGTCTCCTTCCAGAGGTCGCCTCTGGACACGTACGTGCAGACATAGCTGTGGAAGTAAGTTTTTTTTTTTCACACAAAAAACAGCATATTACACAGCTTTCTTTCTTCTCGTAAAAATATAGCTTGAAATCATTCTACATCAGTAAGAGCTGCCTCGTTCCTTATCAAGGCTGCAGTGTATTTCATTGAAAGAATTTATTTAATCAGTCCCTATTGATAAACATTTGAGGTTGTTAAATTGCTACTATCACAATCCTGCAGTGAATATCCTTGTATATATATTATCATTTAGCACTTGTTCAGTTTTATCTGTAAGACAAATTCCTAGAAGGAGACTAGTTGGGTCAAGAGATATGCGATTTTTATTTTGCCAAGTTGCTCTCCAGAGAAGCCAAGTCAATTCACGCTAACTCTAAGAATCACTGAGAACTTTTTTCCCCGTATTCTCCCCAACACAGGGTACTGTCAAAACCTTCTAATCTTTGCCAATCTGGGAGATGCAGATTTGTAGATTAAGTGTATTGTTAATTTGTTTTTATTTCATCATGAGTAAGGTTGTGAATAATTTCTGTTTATGTCCTTGGCCTATTTTACTGAATTTTTTATAATGCAGTTAGAGGACCTTTACATACATCTCATGATACAACAGAAAGACCTTTTCTGTCAGAGAACTTTCCGTAAGTTTTCAATTGTTCCTTGATTTTTTTCTTATAGAGTTTTTTTATACATGGTGCTAAATAAATTTTTTGAATAAATAATCAAGTAAAATATATCCGTTTTTAATGGTTTCTGCTTTCTAGAAAGGTCTTCCTCACTCCAAAATTATTTTTTTTAATTCCATGTTTTCTTCAAAATTTTTATGATTTTCACTTTTTAAAACTTTATCAGTGGACAGTGTCAAACAGACACTGTACACAGAAGAGTGTGTACAACTGAGATGGTTAATGGTATGTGTCGTTTTGGCTGGTCTATGGTTCTCGGTGGTTTGGCATGTGCTCTCCCACAACGTGACCACCTTCATTCTGTGAACTGATACGAGCAGCCAATCGGCTGAAAGGAGAGTTTCCGTGGGGGCGTGGCCTGCCTCCAGCATATAAATGGATATTCTGGCAAAGCTCGCACTCTCTCTCCATCCTACGCTCTTCTCGTCGCCTGACCTCCAGTTCCTGGGACATAAGCCTGCAGAAGTCTCCAGCCTACCACCTGAACTGCAGATTTGGGATTTGTCAGCCCCACAACCCCATGAGCCAGAAGAGGCCTCCAGCCTGCCACCTGACCTGTACATTTTGGGTTCATCAGCCCCTGTAACTTCATGAGCCAGCAGAGGTCTTTGGCCTGCCACTTGACCCATGGATTTGGGCCTTGCCAGCCCCTACAATTGTGTGAGCCATTTCCTCCCAATTGTATGAGCCATTCCCTTGAAGGAAATCTCTCTCTATATTTATATACACGCTTCACTGGTTTTGCTCCTCTATAGAGAACCCATCTCAACAACAGATCTGACGCATTGAACACTAACAACCAAAGACCAGACAAGCTATGGAATGACATCAAGGACATCAAACATGAAGAAAGCAAGAGGTCATTAAACAGACAGGAGAGAAAGAAAAGACCTAAATAGATGTCAGAAGAGACTCTGAAACTGGCTCTTGAATGTCAAGTAGCTAAGCAAAAGGAAAAAATGATGAAGCAAAAGAGCTGAACAGAAGATTTCAAAGGGTGGCTTGAGAAGACAAAGTAAAGTATTATGATGACATGTGAAAAGAGCTGGAGATAGAAAACCAAAAGGGAGGAAAATGCTCAGCATTTCTCAAGCTGAAAGAACTGAAGAAAAAATTCAAGCCTTGAGTTGCAATAGTAAAGGAGTCTACAGGGAAAATATTAAATGACACAGGAAGCATCAAAAGAAGATGGAAGGACTACACAGAGTCACTATACCAAAAAGAAGTGGTCAACATTCAGCCATTTCAGGAGGTAACACATGATCAGGAGCCAACGGTACTGAAGAAAGAAGTCCAAGCTGCACTGGAGGCATTGGCAAAAAACAAGGCTCCGGGAATTGATGGAATACTAATCGAGATGTTTCAACAAACGGATGAAGTGCTGGAAGTGCTCACTCATCTACGCCAAGAAATTTGGAAGACAGCTACCTGGCCAACTGACTGGAAGAGATCCATATTTACGCCTATTCCCAAGAAAGGTGATCCAACCAAATGCGGAAACTATCAAACAATATCATTAATATCACCTACAAGCAAAATTTTCCTAAAGATCATTCAAAAGCGGCTACAGCAGTATGTCGCCAGGGAACTGCTGGAAATTCAAGCCGGATTTAGAAGAGGACATGGAACCAGGGATATCACTGCTGATGTCAGATGGATCCTGGCTGAAAGCAGAAAATACCAGAAAGATGTTTACCTGTATTTTATTAACTACGCAAAGGCATTCAACTATGTGGATCATAACAAATTATGGACAACATTGAAGAGAATGGGAATCCTGGAACACTTAATTGTGCTCACGAGGAACCTGCACATAGATCAAGTAGCAGTCATTCAAACAGAACAAGGGAATACTGCATGGTTTAAAGTCAGGAAAGGTGTGCGTCAGGGTTGTATCCTTTCACCATACCTATTCAATCCGTATGCTGAGCAAATAATCCAGGAAGCTGGACTATATGAAGAAGAACGTGGCATCAGGATTGTAGGAAGACTCATTACCAACCTGCGATATTCAGGTGACACAACCTTGCTTGCTGAAAGGGAAGAGGACTTAAAGCACTTACTGATGAAGATCAAAGACCACAGCTTTCAGTATGGATTACACTTTGACATAAAGAAAACAAAAATTCTCACAACTGGACCAGTAAGCAACATCATGATAAACGGAGACAAGACTGAGGTTGTCAAGGATTTCATTTTACTTGGATCCATAATCAATACCCATGGAAGCAGCAGTCAAGAAATCAAACGACACATTGCATTGGGCAAATCAGCTGCAAAAGATCTTTAAAGTGTCAAAAAGCAAGGATGTCACCTTGAGGATTAAGGTGTACCTGACTCAAGCCACGGTGTTTTCAGTTGCCTCATACGCATTTGAAAGCTGGACAATGAATCAGGAAAATCAAAGAAGAATTGACGCCTTTGAATTGTCGCGTTGGTGAAGAATATTGAATACATCATGGACTGCCAA